AGAAAAAGAAATGCAAAAAATGAGAGCTTTCTTTCTGTTGAAAGTTGGGGCCTAGGAGAAAAATGCTGCTGAAAAGATTAGGAATAAAAAGAAACCAAATACTTCACATCAGGACAATAGGAAATATGACTAGAAAGCCTCTCAGGATTCCGAAAGACATCATCCATCATAGCGTTAGAGGTACAAAAGTACAATCCTTTTACTTGAGAAGATAGTCCATGGGCCGCTGAGCAAGACAGCAACCTATGGTATTGGTTCCCAGGATTCATTTCCCTATGCTCAGCCTTCTAGGCATTAAGAGGCCACTGCAACCATGGTCTAAGAGGTCAGCTACGACTCACATTGGCCTCAAACCGTAGCATCATTCATGTGCTGCTGGTTTTACAGACATGCACAATGTAAGAGATATGGAGTCATGGAGGCTTTCCATATTGTAAAAGCCTGGGACCAGTCAGTGTGCCCCTGAAAGAGCAAAGCATGAAGTTGAGAGTGAAGCCACAGGAACAATGGACACCCCAGGAATTTGGAGTTGCTAGGGAAGTAGGATGTCTACTGAGGGAAGTCATAGGTAATGAGTAGAGCAAGCCCAAGAGAGAGGCCATGTGGGCTACAACCAGCAAGGCCACAGAGGCAGGGGCACCCAAGCCCTTCAGATCACGTCTCCTCACACCCTCCCATGGGTGCTATTACAGGGTTTAGTATTTGCCCTGCTGGCTTTCAATCTTGCTTTAACCGGATGCTTTCTATTCTGCTATTCTTCCTTTTTAGAATGAGAATCTTTATCTTGTGCCATTGTATCTTAGAAGTATCTAACTTTGTTTTTCACTTTTATAAGGGCTCACAGCATGCATTTTATGGACATGAGATGGGCATGAGGTTTTTGGAGGCCAGGGGTGACATGTATCTAAAATATCTTCCCAACATCTGATATATTTAGAGACGAGGTTTTGGAAAATGACCGGATCATGGGGGCATGAGTTCAAAGCTGAATATGCTTTTAGGAGATGTGGCCTGGAATGAAGAGGCAGGTCACTGCGGAAAGGACCTGGAAAGGTCCATTCCTGTCCCTGGATCCTCTTTATTCCTTCCTGCTATGCTATTTCTGCCTTGAAGCCAAGCAACCATCCATGGACTGAAACCTCTGCAAATTGTGAGTCAAAATGAAGCTCTTCTTTGAGTTTTAGGTGTTGGCTTCAGCAATAAAAAGTGGACAAATATATTGGACTGGTGCAAATAAATACTGAAGCAATTCATTCATTCTTTCAGGTATTTATCAAGTGCTTAGGACCTGAAATAGATATTGGGAATTCAATAATGAACATGGTAAATTTTCTACTGTCAAGGAGCATACACTCTAACAATAACCTTTTGTAAGAACAAATCACTACTTAACATATATTTAGGATTTCTTATAGTCTACTACTGTTAGTAAGTGCATTAACTAGATAATAAAGAAGTCAATACATAAGTATACACTGTAAAGAAAAATAAAGCAGGGCAAAGAGATGAGGACAGCCAGTGATGTTTCTCCTAACCCCCAGAACATGTGAATGCACTATTCTTACAGCAAAAGGGGCTTTGCACGTGAAATCCAGTTAAGTCTTATTTGGCAGACCCAGGGAGATCTCATGTTCTTATAAAAGGCAGAGAGAGAAAAGTCAAAGTCAGAGAAAGACAGAAGATATTAGGACGGAAGCTGACAGACACCAGTAGATTGCTGGTGTTTTTCTCTAAAGTCTCCAGAAGGATGGTCGGTTTGCTGACACCTTGACTTTAGTCTGGGGAAACTGCTTTTTGACCTTCAGGAATGTAAGATAATATATATTTGTCTTCTTTTAAGCCATAGAGTTGTGGTAATTTTGTTATAAGAGTAGTAGGAAATAAACACTGTGTTACAGAATGGTGCACTATGGAGGCTGCTCAGTAATGAATAGGTTCTCTGAGGTGACCCTTAAGCAGACAGACGAACAAAGTAAAAATGAAGCATCTGTCTGCTGTCAGGGTTGCGATTCCAGCAGAGGGAACAGAAGGGCTAACGATCTGAGAGGGGACCACGAACACCTGTATGAGTGAGCAAGGGGGAAAGTGTCAGTGAAGGAGAGGTGATCAGAGGCCAGATTTTGCAGAACAGCACGCCTTGCTAAGCACTTTGGGTGTACTGCAAGAGTGATGGAAAGTGACTGGAAGGTTATGAGCAGGCAGTGACACACTCTTGTGACCGCCAAGGAGCACTGTAACCACCAGATGGAAAATAGCTGTGGACTGGAAGAATCAGTACACAAGAGGGGAAAGCAAAGATACCGAAGCGGTTCCCTGAGCGATGCTGAGGCCCACACAGAATGGTTGCAGGCTGAAGCAGGATATTTTGGAGACAGAATGGACAGAATTTGCCCTTGGGTTAGATGTGAAGTTTGAGACAAAGGAGACAAGAATGATATCAAAGATTTTAATGACTTCACTTGGAACATTTTGGGAGGAACATGTTTGTGACAGAAAATCATGACTTGGGTTTTGGCCATGTTTCTCACCTTTCAGGCGCTGGTCAGACAGCTGAGAGGAGGGCTCAGGGAGGGAACTGCGCATAGCATCTGAGAGTGACCAGGGCTGATCACTTCACCTGTGGAGCCCGGGATAGTATGAGGTGTGACCAAAATCCACAGTGAATGGCTAAATCCAAATTTTATTACAGCAAAAGACACACTGCTGTTAATGACCCTCGAAGTATCCCCTCTCGTTTTGAACATGGCTAACCCATCATTCTTGTGAGCTTCTGAAGCAGTTCTAGAGGTGCTCCTTCATGAATATCTGTGTGAGGTGTGGCAAGGAAATACAACAAAGGCTGCCAAGGGCTTTCCAGAGGAAAGACAGGCTCATAAACACACTACAGTGCGTCCTCACCCACCTCACTCACCAGGTCCGGCACCTGGCAACTTCTGGCTCTTCCTCAAACTCAGAAGGATCAGGAAAGGTCAACATTTGAAATCCACTGAGGACACTGAGGCATCCATGATAGTACAATAATGCAAGAAGACTTCCACACCTGCTTCAGACAGTGGCAAGAATGATAGGGTAAGTGTGAGGAGGAATAACAGCAAAATGTCAGTTACTGTAATTAATTAAAAATGCTTAAGACATTTTTGCTATTTTTTAAGCATACTCCACTTATAAAGCATGGACTGACGTGCGTGCGTAGAACCTGAAGACCAGACTCTGGGGGAGTGCAATCTTTAGGGTGATGGAAGAGGATGGGGAATCAGAGGGAAAGTCCTACCACCTTCTGCTTCTTGCTTCCTATTACTTACTACTTCCACCTTCTCCACACTTCGAAGCCAATGTTTTTAACTCATGGCCGGACTGAAGCTTGAACCATGCTGGTGTTCCCCTTTGCAAAGGTTCTCAAAACATCGCCATAGCCTTGGCCTATTTGCCCTGGCTCTGTGAGCTCATGAAATGCCAGTGAGCTCTACTCGTGTCGATTGCCTGACGGCTGTGAATACAAGAGGCTGACTCCAGAACTGCAATTCACCCTGCACCACCGTGCCTTTGCCATCAACGACTGCTGAGCGAGCCACGTGAAGCCTGCATGGGGCTCAGGAGCAGTTGTACATCTGCTCCGAGAAGCAGCTCACAGAATGAGATCAAACTGAAGCTTCCCCTGGAAGCCTAGGTGTTTGCTTCTAGCCGGAAATGGTACAGCACCTTGCCCAGCCGGCACTCGGGCACATTATATTTGAAAGAGATTTGGCGAGGCCTACAAATCATGGAGCTGGTCAGCTTTTCTGACTTTGAGGGTGACCCTAAGAACGGGATGAGAAACGGCTGCGTATTTGATGGGACTGTTCAGGCACTAGCACGCGGGGCCTAGCTTCACAGCTACGAATTTAACTCCCTCTTCAACGCCTGGTTTTTCCTCAGGAGAATTATAATGACCTTGTAAAAAGGTCTCATGCTTTAACCTCCCAAGTCTGCTCCTGCGCCAATTATCAGCTCCCCGTGTTAAATTACTTACAGGCTGATATTCTCAGTCTTAGCTAAACACTAGAATCGCTTGAGAAATTTAACGGTATCCTGAAGTGAGTCCCACCCCCAGAGATTCCGACCTAATTGTCTTTGAGTGTGGCCTGGGCAAACTGGAGTTTTAAAAGCTCCCCAGGTAACTCTAACAGGCAGCCACAACTGCGACGCGCGGTCTCTGGCCTCGTGCTTTCCAAACTCACAGCGAATTTCAAGAATGTCTGGGGCTCTTTTTTCTAGGTGACCTTACTTGATGGCAGTGGCCTTTTGAGGAACAAATGCTGCTGCTTGTCATGTCTCTCCAGGAACGCCAGGTCCGGGCAAGGCGAGACTGCCGAGGAGCTCTCCTGCAAAGCAGGAAGCCCGATACTGCGCAAAGCCACTTTCCTTCAGTGCCAAAGGGAGCCCGTGCGAGTCTGCAGAAGAAACCCGAGGTGTGGCGAGGACAGCACCCTCTCCGCTACAGCCGTGTAAAGATCGGCTCTCCGGGCCTACGAAGTGGTAACTGCGCCCTAGAAAGGCGCTGGTAGCTCTTTAAAATTGCGGTATTTGCAGACCTGTTCCTCAAGAAGCTGCACTTTCACAAGCTGCCCAGAAGACGCGCGCTGAGTCTGCGGAGCGCGTGGCTTCGGTAACGCGGCGCGCCAACTTCTTTGAAAGAGTAGGAGCCCAGTGGGGTAGGGCGCTCTGTGCTGCGCGGGTCGCCCTGGGGTGAGCGTCGCGGACCGAGGCCGGAGCCCCGGCGGCCCG